AACCTCTACGTGAGGAAACAGACACCTTTACGCACCTTTGCTGTGAATAGCGACCCAAAGATCCTGCTTGGTGTTCTTTTCCTGAAGCTCAGAGAATGTGATGACCTTGGACATGTCTGAAGCGGGGTTTCAGAAGTAGAGAGACGGTAGCAAAGTGTGGATGGCGGAGGAAAGATGGGAATATTTAGCCAGCAAATGGGCGGGGTATTTGAGGACAGTATAAGAACCGAACCAAGTCAGCAAGTTCCCACACCAATCAGAACACCGCAAATAATATAATTCGTCAACTAGTTGAGCTACCGAACAATACAGAATTTGATACGCAAGTGTCTGCTTGGTTTAGTACTCGAATGTCCATGAGTACTCGTACTTATTGTAGAGGTAAACATTCAAGCGTGGACCATGCAATCTATCTGCCACTTCACCAGTAAGAAACGAAAGCATTTCGAGCTGTGTCCCTAGGCATGGCGAGTGGAGTCGGTCTGAATTTTGAGACGTATCCTCTGATAGTAAGCGCAGAAGTATTCGCAGAAGCCACATTAGATGTTGGAACATCCATGAAGGGTGTTCGATAAGAGGGTGAAAATGGATACAGCTCCAATGGTCGATGTGTGTGGATAAATCTCCGATTAAATATTTCATTCCCCGCAGGGGCCGTGCCGACAAGTTGACTATTAGCATAAGCAGAATCCTTCCTCTTGACTGCACCCAAGCTCCAGCCATATCGACATCACCAACCATGGCGTTGCGCGACGAGCAGGCCGACATCCTTGGCGGACCAATACTTCAAAGACCAGAATCCAGCTTGTTCGCCTCATTCGGTCAATATCACTTCGTTTTCAAGTCGGTGACGCTCTTGGGCCTTGGATTGTTTGTATGGATCGTGTGTGTGCACGGCCTCGAACATCTCAAGAAACATCGTGAGTTGAGACACAGGAAGTACGTTTTCTATCCCAGCACATTTACACTATTCTGACCTTTTTTCCCCCCTCCAGAGCGATGCGTAGGAAGCACGGTATCCCCGACTCAGACTGTCGTCCCTTTGCTGTAGCGTATGCCGCAGCCAAGCGTGCGCACCTGGAACGCGAGGCTCAGGACCGAAAGAAGATGGCGACCAATTATGTGGCAGACCACCATTCACCGGTTGTTGATCAGCGGACCGATGCACAGAAAGATGCGCGTGGCCTGAGAAAACGGGTTCCCGAAACCAGTGAGTCGATCTAAACGTCTCAGACTGAACGTGGTTTGTCTCATTGCTTCATCGCGGACCTTCACGTATCATGCTTGCACCGCGTGTAGCTGTCCGTCTTCATGATTACCAACTCTCCACAAATCACGCCACCCTGTATGATAACAGGCGTCCAGATGTCCATCCCCTCAATTTTGCAGACCGCTACAATCCTAATTCGCGCCCTGATGTGCCCATCCCAGAACCATTACCCGCTGGAAGGGCAGTCGTTCGTCGGACTGGCAGAAAAGAATTCGTTCTCAATTTTGACGAAAATGAAGAATCAAGAAAACGCTCTTTTGAGGACGAAAACGATGCCGAACATGAGAACATCAAAAAATCTCGCATAGATGGGGAAGAACTTATAGACGGAGATGAAGAAGCAGACTGGTACTCTCAATACTCTGACGTGCCACTTCGACAAACATCCAAGGAATCTCTTCACCATCGACTCGAGGCTGATTATGTACATACGGACGCACAAGGGAGATCCCAACATATTAATGACCTTCATGACGAAGACCACGGGCCCGTTGATGAAGCAATGGAAGCTGTTGGCGAAGATGAGATGACGGAACTCAAGGCTGTGGTGCGTGGCAAAAAACGTGATCGGACGGAGGCAGGGTCATCTTTCGGAGGCGATGAAGATGAAGCTGTTCGGAATGGAAGGGCATCGCATCATCGCAAGCGTCGAACCGTTTCACAAAGGAGGGTAGAAGTCCCTGCACGAGGGAGGAAGCGCGACCGCGAAGCTGAATCGCCTGAGAGTGAAGGTGAGAGAGGTAGTTCCGAGGCTTCACAGGGGCGTAGCCAGCGAAGTTCCAAAAAGAAAAGGGAGAAGAAAACTGTGTCTGATGGTGTCAAAGAGGTGTTGGTGGAGGATCGCGTGTCCGGGGACTCTCTCTGTGGGGGCCGTAGGACTGGTGAGGAGTGGGAGGCTGATGGTGTTCAGTATAAGGTCAACGATAAGGGTGAGCGATCACGCCTCACCTTGGTCAGGAAGGCAAGGAATAAATACCATATGGCAAGTCTCACGAGATTAGATGTCCACCTCTCTCATGCCCACCCTCTAGCCCGAAGATTCCCAGCATCCTGATCGATCAGCTGCGCTAGAGATCTATGTGGAGACATGGATGACTGATGAACAGTACAAACAAGCGGAGCGGAGACAGGAGTTAGCATGGCAGGAAGCACCAAGAGAGTCCAAGCCTGCCGAAACCTTTGATTCTCCTACGAAGTCCGGCAAGAATATCTTGTGGGATTCGGTCACCGGCAGTCCTACTCGTCGTCCCTTCCGTCACCTCGTACCCGCGAGCACTTCGACTCGTATCAACCCCTTCGAGCAGTGGCAACTGCAACCTACTCTTCAAGGACGTCGTGTGGCTTCGTCCAGTGCTATTGTTTCTCATATACTCCCAGGAGTTGCGAATAGCCCCACGCGCTCTGGTTTCCGCACCTTCTCCAAATGGGAGAAACAGGATCGAGAGGCAGCAGCAATGGCTAGAATACGAGCGAAGATCGAAGAGCAAAAGAAAGCTCAATCGCCTCCTCAGAAATCAGCAGAAATGTCTCCCAGTGTAACCGCCCCTGAACTCGGCTCTAAGCCTTTGTCTGTCCCTACGATCACGCTTACCCCCGCACCTCCTGTAGTCGTGGAAGCTGAGTCGGTCGATCTATCGGCCAAAAGCAAGACGAACACCTCGACTTTCTTTGCACCACCTCTCAGTACTGACGATTCCACCAAGAATACGCTAATCACTGCCTCGAATGCTACTCCAAGTTTCTCGCTATCTTCTACCTCTACCTCTGCCTCCACACCATCCACGCTCTTTCCGAGTGCTTCAACTGTTCCTATTGTGACCTCTTCTGCGGCTCCCCTTCCACAATTTTTGTTCGCGAAATCATCACAAATTCCATTTTCCACCACAACGGCGTACGTCATCTGCGACGTCAACTTTCTTCGGGAAAGGGACTGGTGTACCCACGTCATCCGTGTCCACTCCGTCGTTGTCTGTTTTAGGCGCACCGGCCCGGCAACCTTCGACCGAAAGTGCTTCTAAGCCAGCAACATTCTCTTTTGCAAAGCCGGAGGTCTCTACTTCGTCCGCCACTTCGTCCCCTGCTGTTGCTGTGCCTCTTACGACGAAACCACAAGCGCCCATCTTTGGTGTTACTTCGACTTCATCTCTGGCTCCAGTGAACTTTGGTGCTACTAAGGCAGAGGCTTCAGCCCCACCTGTCTCGACCTCTGTCACCACGTTGGAAAGCTCAAAACCAGCGACCCCCCTTTTCTCATTTTCTGGCACATCTTCATCCTCGTTAGCTACTACGTTCCAGGCATCATCCGCACCCAAGTTTACATTCGTGCAGTCGTCCACGACATCGGCATTTACACCTCCTCCCAATGCCAATCTTGGCGCCGCTTCCCAGCCTAAGCCGACTCCTAAGTTCGGCTTGACACCGACAGGTGCAACGGATGGTGGCTCCACATCCTCGATTCCAGCTATACTGGTCCCAGCCTTCGGCACCTCAACTTCCAACGAACTCGCTAAGCCATCGGGAACGATATCTGCTGGAAACGCAACCCTTGACTTGCCCTCGACTTCAATAACCAGTTCTCTGGGGAAACCGGTTGCCACCGACGGTGGTACCTCGGTATCTACACCACCTAAACCGACACCGGCATCTGCAAGCTCCACGAACGCGTTTCTTTCAATACCCGCTGGGGCTCCTACTTCTGGAACTACGCAACTTTTCTCGCTTGGTGGGACTAGCTTTGGTTCCAAAGCTACTGAGGGATCCAAGCCAGCATCCTTGTTTGGAGGTGCCGCGGGAAACCCCAGTTCTGTACCTATTTTTGGAGGAAGCTCTACAGAAGGCAAACCAGCATTTACATTCGGTGCCCTTGGGGAAGGCTTCAAGCCCGCTTCTGCATCGAGCGGCAACGCAGCAAATTTCAAGGCCCCGTCTGTCTTCGGTGGCTCGGTGGAGACTGCCAAACCTATCTCGGTGTTTAGTGGCGGTGCGGAAGAGTCGAAAGCAACATTTGCATTCAGTAGCGTTGTCGAAAACAAATCCAAGTCCGGTCTTGCCACTGAAGGCTCAAAGTCTTCTAGTACCACAGACACATTTAAACCCAATGCAACTCCAGAAGGCACTGCATCCACGGCCCCGACATTTGCGTTCAGAAAGGATGATGCAGGCACTGACGCATCCACCTCGATGGGTGCGCAAACAAAGCCTGCAACTTCCTTCACGTTTGGTGCTCCATCAGGTGCGACCAGCTCGATATTTGGACAGCCGTCCTCTTTTGCGACGAACAATGATCCGAGTCAATCAATATTTGGCAAGTCCGGAAATAGTACACCTAGTGCCTTCGGGTTTGGTGGAACTGGGAGCTCGGGCTCGTCGAGTACATTCACATTTGGCAAACCAGCGGCACAGAATCAAAAGCAGGAGCAGTGAAGAGTTGTAAGCCTCGTGCAGGCGATATATCTGATGTTTTTGAAGGGGATTTCGGATGAGCTGTTCCATACCTACCCACCACTATTTGCAATGAAGAGGCGGACGTTCAGTGATGTACATTACCTACTTCTAACTGAGCTTTTTTTGCATTCGGTACTTACCACCTCGAAGCATGAAACCCTGCGAAATTCTTCCGTTGACTGCCGTGTTATGCGGTTTAAAAGCATGTATGTATGTTCCGTGCTTTATTTGGCAGGCAAGGGGGGGAAAGATGTAATATAAGATACCTTTGCTCCTTTATATTCAGGGCCGGCTAGCTCAGTTGGTTAGAGCGTCGTGCTAATACAGTCGGGAATGACATCCGATGTACGCGAAGGTCCTGGGTTCGACCCCCATGCTGGCCATATTGTTTTTGATACTGCATCCAAGTCTTCAAGTTCAAAGTCATCACTGAGCATACCCTGGGAAGAGTCCAAAAATGTGGTCTGCCTCCACCCTAGAGGTATACAAAAAACCAATTGACCACCGCAGGGCTCGAACCTGCAATCTCCTGATTCGTAGTCAGACGCGATGCCATTTCGCCAGGCGGCCACTCATCATCATGTGACACTCCTTTTTATGTAGCAGACTTGTCGAATCTCGATATATCCGGCACCATTCCTCACTCTTGAACCAATAACTATAGATACGAGACAAAGTGACACCTGAGGATATCTTGGTCCGTGTTGTGGCACTGGATCCAGGCTAATAACTTCAGTATCAGATCTATCTATCAGAGTGAGGCTAACTTGAACTTACTACTCGATCATCGTACTCCTTCGATTGCGTCTTGTAATTTGTAGGCTGAGGTTACAAATCGGAGTGTGGAACCAGCTATGTGCATTATGGGAGATCGGCTCCGACGTGTGGACGATCTAAATAATGTATAAACGGTCACTAGCGGGGCAACCAGCCTGAGATCAAGTGAACTCAAGTAAACTCTAGGAGTACTTCCGAGAACTTTTTGATCCAGGGAGCAGGTGAAACTATACTGGTAAGAGTATCTTGGTCTTTCGACCCCGCGAAAATTCGAGGATCACCTACTCGGTTGTACTGAATTTTGCCAAACCATCAGCCTGAACTCTCATAGAGGGGTTTCAGAGGAACAATCGGTTACAAACTTACAATTCGTTGGAAGGATAAACCATTGAAGTAGTCAACAGTGATCGATCGATCGTCTACATAGTGCACGTACTGGTGAGTAGTTAATTGACTCGAAGTTGTAATGCGGATGAAGCAAATCTCGAAACTTTGGCCATATGTAGAACCTCACCGGCACCGTTGAGTTCTGTCGATCCAAGCCGGTTAGCGTGGGAGCCAGACGCTTGAATTACGCCCAGCGCTGCTTCGTGCAACACCACCATGTCTGTCTTGTTCGAGACATCACTCGGAGATATTGTTATCGATCTGGAAGTTGGTTTATGTCCCAAGAGCTCTGAAAACTTCCTAAAACTCTGCAAGATATACTACTATAACCTCAATGCATTTTTCAATGGTACGTTCATTGTGCACGTAGTTCACCACCCATTGAAAATGCGTGGTTTTAGTGTCGAAGGACTTTCTTGCCCAAGCTGGGGATCCAACCGCTACTGGCACCGGCGGGGAGTCAGTTTGGTCATATATAGCATCTCAAGAAGAAAATAAATCAGTCCCGCGACATTTCGTTCCGGAATTCGTGCCCAAACTCAAGCATACACACAAGGGGGCTGTCTCGATGGCCGTGGCTCCTTCCGTTAGCGGCGACCAAGGAGGTTGTGGGAGTCAATTCTTCATTACACTCGCTGACAATATCGAGTATCTGGATGGAAAGCATGCCGTCTTTGGCCACGTAGTGGAAGGCTTGGACACCCTGGATAAAATAAATGACATTTTCACCGACCAGGCGGGACGTCCCTTCAAGGATATCCGAATTCGTCATGTTGTCATCCTCGGTATGAGATAGAGGGCACCCATCCTCATATACTGACCCCTATACCCGTAGATGACCCGTTCCCGGACCCGGTAGGTCTTGTTAAGCCACCGTTTTCGCCTACCCGGCCTCCGGATAACTCCACAAGGATTGCTGAAGATGAAGATGCTCTTGCCACTTTACCTGAAGAAGAAGAGGAGCGTGAACGTAGGAAAAAGGCAGCGACAGCCTCTGCGCTGACACTGGAAATGGTTGGCGACTTGCCTTTTGCGAATGTTCGACCTCCAGAGAATGTCTTGTTTGTGTGCAAACTGAATCCAGTCACCCGCGACGAGGACCTCGAGCTCATTTTTTCGCGATTCGGGACTATAATGAGTTGCCAGGTAATCCGCGACAAAAGAACGGGTGATTCATTACAATATGCATTTATAGAGTTTGATAAACGAGAGGACGCTGAACAGGTTTGGGTTCACCAACTTTCATTAGGGCCACAGGCTTACAAGCACTGTAGGCATATTTTAAGATGCAGAATGTTTTAGTCGACGATCGTCGCATATGGGTTGACTTGTAAGCGTTCGTGGCATAATGGCTACATTTGCTAATTGGGTACACCTCAGCTCCCAGTCTGTGGCTCGTCTCAACACTTCATGGTCCAACGACCCCAAATTAGGCCCACACCGGAGAGAGAAAGGAGGCTTTGCAGGTCGAACTGATCTAGAAGAGACCCGCAGATATCGAGGTGTCCCGAAGGAGAACGGAGGTAGTGACTATGGGATGGTGTTTGAGATGTCAGATGGTGGGTCGTCGCACCGTCGAAACCGAGACCGCAGCAGACATCGGGAACACCCTCCAGACCGCCGAGGACGTTCTCGCTCGCCACTGCCTCGTCAACGTCGCCGCAGTAGGGATCGGTTGCCGTCACGAGAACGCCGCCCGCGTCGCGAATCATAATTTGCGATGAGGCTGTTCATCTGTTTACACCTGTTTGTAAGGCAATGAAACACTTTACCCCTGTCTCGCAATTTGGACTGTTTGGCGTAGTCTCCCAAGTATGTAAGTGTCGAGTGCTCTCCCAGGCAAACCTCCAGTTCCTGCTGCGCTCTAGCCTGACTCGTGTCGAACCTATAAAATCACCTCTTAGCACGGCAACCACTCTTCCCAGTTTTGAAATTGTTTCACCATCATGACGGTCCTCGTTCGCGACACGTACGCAGAGGACACCGACGTCGCTCTCGAGTCTGCAGATGGCGTCAAATTCTGTGTCCACCGCTGCATCCTAGCCACTGCCTCTCCTTTCTTCGAACATATGTTTGCTCTTCCTCAGCCACCTCCAGACGGCAAGGAACCTCGTCCAGTGATTCCAGTATCGGAACATAGCTCGACGCTGAGCTCTTTACTTCAATTCATCTACCCGGAGCCAGATCCAGCCATCCCATCGTTGGACGAACTCGGTCGTTCTTCTCACTGCATCCGTCAAGTACGACTTTCTGGGTCCTACAGCTGCTCTGCGCAAAGAACTCTTATCCCCTCGTTTTCTTGATGAAAGCCCAACTCGCGTTTACGCCATCGCCAGTCGGTTCGACTTTGAGTACGAGGAACAGGTTGCTTCGGGACACACACTCTCATGCAGCATTCTCGACTGCCCTTTGTCGGATGATCTTAAATTCATTTCTGCACATGCCTATCATCGACTTCTGGTACTTCATAGGACGCGCTCGGAAGCTGCGCGAGCGTTGTTGAAGATACCACAGGATATCAAATGCATACAGTGCTCGGGGCCATTTTACGGTGCTCTCGTTCCGCCGAAGTGGTGGAAGGAGTTCGAGAGGTTGGCAAAGGAGGAGCTCTCTGTGCGGCCAACGACCAACGTCATCTTCAGCATGCCATTCCTAGCTCATGTCGCGCAGGAATCGGGATGCATCCGGTGCGCTGGGAGCATTCTTGACGCACATGCGTTCTTGGCGAGCCTGAAGAAGCAAATCGATGACCTTCCTTCTACGATATGAGCTGGACGTTTCACCGCCCTAAATTATCGCACTTTGTCTCCATTACAGTACCATGGTTCACACCTGTCCATCGTCTTATTTTCCCAAATCGCTCGTAACGTTACATCACGACCTCACAACGAACCATAAACGACGAACTTTAACCTAATGGATACCTTGTATGTAGCATATTCCTTTGGTTAGTGACTGGGTCCTTGGTTGTACCGCGCGGTTATATTATCTAGTTTTAGTAATCGTAGATCCGTTCCAGTGATCAAGCCATCGTGCGAGTGATCACGTTGAAAAGAGCACGACGGTCACGGTCATCAACGCATCACCTTCAGCTGAGAACCATGATTACACCGCAGCTTGCGCTATTCAAAGTGCCCGTTGTCGACAATGAGCCGATGGTAAGCATCCAGCATCATTTGGATTAGTAATTGATTGCTCAGAGACATATTCAGAGTAGTTATTCCGTGGGTTCGCCGGAGCGAAGAGGCCTTGAGGCGGCTTTGAGGGAGATGGAGCAACAGCTACCTTTCGAGGTACCTTGCATCGTCAATGGAAAAGAGGTTTGATACAAGCGCGATCATAATTCTAGCTCCTTGCTGAATGTGCCCGATTATTCAGATCAGAACCGGAAGAGTGGCGAAGCAGCCCATACCGTCGGACCATGCCAAGCACCTCTGCGCATACCATGAGGCAGACGAGGTCACTGTCGCGAGCGCGATCAACGGAGCTCTCGCTGCAAAAGCAGGATGGGAAGCCATGCCGTGGAATGACAGAGCGGCCATATTCCTCCGCGCTGCAGAGCTTGTCAGTGGCAAGTATCGCTACAAGCTCATGGCGGCCACTATGCTTGGTCAAGGCAAGAACGCATGGCAAGCTGAGATCGATGCTGCTGCTGAGGTACGATCGGCTTTCACTGGCAGGTCGCTGCTGTAACAGCTGTCTGACTGGTTTTGTGCAATAGCTGTCCGATTTCTTCCGTTTCGGTGTCAAGTATGTCGAAGAACTTTATGGCCAACAGCCGCCCAAAAATGCACAAGGGTCCTGGAAGTGAGTCGGTGTACAATCGCTCGTTGCCTGGTCTTCCTCTGATGCGCTCATAGTCGCGTTGAGTACCGAGCCCTGGAAGGTTTCGTACTAGCCGTCTCCCCATTCAACTTTACTGCCATTGGCGGAAACCTTCCTGGAGGTTTGTCTTATCTAGCTTTCAAACTAGTCCTGATTAGAACTTGGTTTCATCCAGTACCCGCACTGCTCGGGAATGTTGTGGTTTGGAAGCCTTCACCTGCAGCCACTTACTCAAACTATCTCGTACACCAAATTCTCGCGGAGGCCGGTGTCCCCCACGGCGTCATCCAGTTTGTGCCTGGGCCACCGCCGGAGGTCGTAGGGCAAGCCATCGGACATCCCAATTTTGCAGCATTACATTTCACCGGAAGCACCTCTGTCTTCAAGAAACTTT